TTTTCAGAAAGGAAACAGAGTTCCATTCAGACTGTGTTTACGTCTTCTGGGGCTGATGGCCTCGACAGATTCTGTCATTTCACTGGGACTGTTGCGAATAAGGGGGTTTCAGCACTTGACAGCAGCGCAGCTCTTGTGTCCAAAACGCCACCGCAAAGTGATAGTGACGTCACTCTGCATGGGCGCTCTCCATCAGTGGAGAGATCGCTCTTTTCTCGAGTCAGGGACTCTCCTGGGGGCAGTTTCTCTGAGAAAGGTGGTTACAACGGATGCATTGCTCACAGGTTGGGGTGCAGTATGTGAGGGCAGAATAGCGAAAGGGAAGTTGCCCGTCTCGCTACAGAACGCACACAAACTTCCTGGAACAGTTAACCCTTTCACTCGTAAGTAGTGCTGCACGATTAATCGTATCGCAATCGTAATCGCGATGTCAAGCCTATGCGATTATATGACGCAAAATACTGCGATTTTATATAAAATAAACAAATTAGGGCTGTTAACGCAGCATCTGTTATTTTTTGTCATCCTTTGGCTAGTGTTACATGATCCCGCTCTTATTTAAGCGAATGCTTTAAACCATTCAGCCAGTCAAAAGAGAGCGCGCTGCCTGTGAATGTCCTGACTGAAAGACGCGCGCCAGTATCATGCGCATGCACAGACCGCGCGCCAGAATACAGTTCTCTTTCCGCTTGAAGTGAACGAACAATAACACACACAATTATGCCAAAATATCATTTGTCGAGTGTCTTCATCATAACATAAGAGCAGTCTTATGATGGTCGTTGACGTAAAGAGTTGTGAGAGAATAAGGCGCGTGTGAGATCCGCGTCTCTGTCAGCAACTCTTAAAGGGCCAGCATCCAATAATGCTTTCTGTCAGTAAAGTTAATCAAAGAACAAAGGAAACAGAGAAAAACACTCACTGCTCTTGACCAAAGAACTTGTTTAGCTTTAAATAGGATTTTAGTCCATATTTAATAACTTTATTCAATTTCTGTATTGTTAGACAGGAAGAGCACAGGTAAATATGACATTTATTATGGGTTTATGTGAGGATTGTTTGAAGTTCACTTAAATTAAAGCTCCAGTCGGCAAGTCTGGCAGATTGAGTGGATTTAGGAAAATTTTGAATGTTTACAACTCTCATGCCCCTCCCCCACTATCAACGGATACCCTCCCACCCAGTTCATGCTCGTCAGTGCGTGTGCACCAGATTTTCAGTGAACGCCAGGGCTCTCAAGTGTCACGCATTGAGCGTGACAGTCACTCATTTCGGTCTTTTGTCACGCTCTCCCGCCACACATTGTATTTCTCACGCTGAAAAACTATTTGTAATATATTTAATATGCCGCAGCGCCCAAAACTCTGGCCGCGCCGCTCTCACTGTGGAACCGACATGAATCAAGCGCGTTTCTTCTGGTGTTGTTCGTCGAGCTACACAATAGCCAATCAGAAAATAGCACTATTGTATCTGGGTAAGATTTAACGCAACAACCAATGACAAAAATGTATCCAACCCCCCGTCGGCTGGGTGTCACTCTTACCTGTCTTCAAAACTTGAGAGCCCTGGAACGCGCCCGTCTCATCAGCATCCATCAACACCATGGAGTATTTGGAGGTATGCTGTCCTGGCTAATGTACCGATAGATTGCAATTGCTAACGTCATTTATACTCTAAATGAGCTTACTTGATTTTCCGCCATCACTCTTCGTTACTGCGCGAACTTCCGCGAACTTCAGGCGTGTGCATGTGATTGTAATGTACGCGAGGGGTGGCATGTGCCCGATCTGTGATTGACAGTGAGATCTCACACCCCCCTGCGCTGATTGGACATGATGAACCGGGAGCTGTGGATTTTTGCAAAACAAATAACACGCTCCAGGTGGAGTTAGAAGCTCGGGGTTTTTTCTAAAACCACTTTATTTATGTTGTTCTGTCAGATTATAGTGTCGATTTCACTGAATATGATCAAAAAAATGTTGCCGACGGCAGCTTTAAAATTAAATTAATTTTTATCCAGACATCAATGGCTTATTGATCATTATAGGTGTTATCAATCATTTAGTTGTTGTTGCTAGTTTGAGTTGAGAAATACACATTTCAGAATTATCACTAATCTGTGTGTCTGCATTTTGCTTTAGAACCAAGCACGTTGACTCATGAAACCATTTGTTTATTATATCGCAATCGCATATCGCAATATTGACCTCAATAATCGCAATATGACATTTTCCCCAAATCGTGCAGCCCTACTCGTAAGTTTAAAATATTCTAACTGACCCCCCAGCGTGAGTTTTTCAAGGCGACCGTTATTTAGAACTTGTCACTTTAATGTTTCCATGGCGACGTGTCATTGCTTGTCACGTGACACAGCGCAACCACAACACAGCGCTGAATGAATGATGATCTGCTTTTGTCATTTTTCCTTTTTTATTAAAAATATTCACAAATGTATTAGCTATAGCATGAAACACTGATATTCCGATTATCAAATATGTGCAAGTGGATGGGTATTGTTGTTTAAACATCTTTAGAACGATCGCGTTAGTTGAGCTGTATGCACAATGTGCGGCGCCATTTTAGTTTGTTTTACAGTTCAGAGAATCGGATCTGTTGGATTTACAACACGTCAATTCCTCCACTTCTCACGAAATACATGAAAGTGGCCGGTGAACTGGGAGAAGAATAGGGTCAAATGTAAAGCTACTTACACAATGTGTATCTGATATGAATAAAAAGTATCATCTTATTATAATGGAAAGGATTATTATTGCCGCATCCATAGACATCAGTGTGTATTTTACAAACTCAAAATCATTGTTTTGCTAGTACTTATGTGTATTTAAATGTCTGAAACCTAAAATAAACATTATGTGGTTGAAAACACTCAATAGTTGTGATATATGACAGGACTGAGTGCGTCCCTCTCTGGCTCAGCGCCAGCCAACGCGCGAAAGCACGTTTGAATTTAGCCGTTGATCACGTGATGCACTGACCGTTCTAATCACACCGGTGTGATCGTACGCTCCAGGGACCAGCCAAGACTGATCACACCGGTGTGATCGTACGCGTGAAAGGGTTAACAGTGTTTCTGGCTTTGAATAATTTTGTGCAGAAATAATGTAAAATACCGGTAAACAAATCAAAATGTTTAAAAATATTATAAACACTATAAACCTTTAGGCTATTTTAGTTTTCTTCACTCCACAACAAATCCTCTAAAGTTAACAGTATTCAGCTAAATAAACGTTAAGCCACAACAAATTAATTTAAATTGAAACTGAAGCCTGCTCATTCGGCACGAATCCAAATCATAGATCCAAATGTTCCCATATTCACATCGTATTTGAATGCTAAACTATTATTTATTAGCCTATGTAAACTAGGCTTTGTACTTCACTTGCATTATCGACGTAAAACATCATCCACATAAAACACACAGTGAGACGGTGGTCACGGTGAACGACACAGATTGTAGGCCTATTACGGACTATTTAAATTGAGCAGTTTGGTTGACTTAATTTTTATTTTGCTTATGAAGAGGCTGTAATGTCTAGTTAGCAATGCTAAAATATCTTGTGTGCCCGTGAGGCGCCGGCGCAATCACTGGAAGTTTTTCTAAGAAAGGAAACTGTTACTCCATAATTTATGGTCATACAGAAGCAAGACATCAATATCCCATAGTGAGATACCTCACTCTTGTTATCAGAGAACCGGGGTTACGTAAGTAACCTAAAGATTTTTCCTTATAACGATGGAAACAACTTAAATACTATGTCATTTATGGTCATACAGATTAGATCACTTGCCAAAAAAAAGCCATTGTGCTGTTTTTAAATAAAACAAATAGGATGCAATTTCTGCAGTCTTAGATTCTCAGTTCTCCGTTCAGAAAAGCGCTACAGGTGCGTGATGTGTGAATCCGCATGTTCTATTGTTTATGCAGCTATTTGCGCATGTTAACTAAACCCCTGTAAAAAAAAAAAAACCTTTGTGCCATTTTAATGGTTCAGACTTATTTATTGTAATTTAATTCTAATTGAACATTCTAATCTTGTCATTTAACGGTTAATGAGTGACGGTTGATGTTCAAGAAAAATAATCGAAATGAACATCCCTAATGTGAAAATATATTTTGCAGCTTAAACTTTATCTTAAGCCCTTTTAAAAAAGTATCATTTATTTCTATAACATGTTGCCTTCTAACTTTTTAAACAGTGTATTTGTGTGAACTGTTGCGTTTAAAGTCTAATGTGAAGTATTTATAAAACTAAAACAATGTTTAAGTTTTAATGCTTTAATAAATAAATAATATTTTGGTAGACATCATAATATAGTATAATACTGGAATGCAGAAATACTATATAGAACAAACTGTCATATTACTTGATGTTAGAAAAAGTGAACGAATTGAATAATTCTTGGGCTGTTGGTGTCAGGTTGTATGAGAATGTGCTGTCTGTATGATTACATACAGCAGTTGATGATGTTTGCAGTTTAACACACGTGTTTGTTTTATTATTTATACCACAACAGTAAATGAGTGTCTTAATAGAAATTCTATTATATATATTATCTTGAAAAAGATACAAAATTAGTAATATCCGAAAAAGCATAATAGGGGCACTTTAACACTGGTTTGTAGCACAAAAAGTTGTACCGTTTACTGCACATTTTCATTCTGGTAGTTATCTACAATGTCTAAAAAAAATCTTTCACACATTCATAGAACAGTTTTCTTCCACATTGCAGTATAAGGTGGATAGGATTCTTAAACTTCCCCTTTTTCTTTCTTGGGTGCAGGAATGTACCCCACATTGTGCTATAGAATACCGCTTGGTGTGAATAGTTTGCACAAACCCTATTTTTATTTTTAATAAATGCATTGAGAAAAATAAATGAATTGTTACACCCTACAGAATCAGTACATACTGTACAAATAAACCTTTCTTTCAGGCTTTTATTTAATTGTGTATAAATGTAATTGTCTGGTCCCTCAGCCTCACAGATGCAGGAAAGCGGCTCAGGATATGATTCATCTTTGAGAACTTCTCTTGGGGCATCTCACACACTGTCTTTCTTGCAACAGCTAGGTTAGGGAAACAAAAGTCTCTTTTGATATTGGAAGAATTACCATAGTATCCATTTAACATTACATAAAACTAAAAGTGTTAAACCACCAATTTATTTTTTTACAGAGGAAGAGCCTTTGGATTGTTTATCAACCTCTCATTGTCACTCCTCGAAGAAAAGAGATGAACGAGAGAAGCAGAACTACAATAAGTCAATACCGAAAATAACAAGTAAAATAGACCACACACCTCCTGAATCAAACACAGCCATGGCCATGAGTAATCTGTCCAATGGTGAAAGTAATATTAATGTCCCACCATTATCTTCAAGATCACGACTGTCTTTAGTGAACTACACTGAAGGAAAGAAGCAGTCCACTTTAAAGAGTTTCTTTCACAAAACCTGCTCTGAAAGAAAACAAAGCTCACACCTCAAACCAGAAACTGAGAACATTGGAATATCTACAGCGTTATCCGGCAGCCCTGAAAAACCTAAAAGTTCCCTGCCTGAAAGCCTCACAAAAACAAATCACAAAAACCGCAAAAGTATACAGCACTCCAAAGAACTGCAGACCAACTCTAAACGTTCCTATTCCAGGAATTCATCTTCAGCACGCAGTCGTTTCATAGCAAATGAAAATGTCATTCAAAATGATGAATCTGTTACATTCAAGCCTGTTCATAAATGTCAACGTCAAACTTCTGCTGCACTGTGTTCAGCTGACTCGATTGGTGATCTTCCTAGTAGAGATGTTGAAGATGATGATGTGTTTGAAGACATCTTCTCACCAGCCAACAATGCCCTTAAACAGAGGGTCATTTTGTTTGGTTCAACCTCAGAAGCAGTGCACATGTCCACTTTTGACCTAGAGGACTCAAACAAGAAGAGCAAGAGATCGTGTAGTAAAAAGCGAAAACATCAAAATATTGATATTAAAGACTTGGTTCATTCATCGGACCCTGTGGATATGATGGAGGAAATTGTTCCTGAGACGCATGAATCAAGGCCTGAATATTTGTCTGTGGAGACATTTGAGGTGCCTCAGTCACCCAGGTTTGTAGAAGTAAAAATCAAGCCGTTGGCAAAGAAACCAAGAAAGCAAACTAGGCTGAGCTCTGCTGTTCTCTCTGAAGTGAAGGAACATAAAAGCTCTTTTAAACTCAGTCCTGCTAACGAAAAGGCGGCAACGGCTTCCTCTCCAATGTCATCCTCTGCGGTTAACATGAAGCTGCAAATACAGAAGTTTCTCAAACCTGACCCTGACCCCAAACGTGGTATTGAAAAGAAACAGATGGGTTTAAAAAGTATGTGAATTTTATTTAGTTTTTTTATATGTAAATTGGACCTTGCTTATCTCTAAACAGAGCTGAATTTATAAATTCAAATGGCAGGGCTTGGCAGTATATTGGTAGAAAGTATTAAAATGTAAAAGCTGTATTTCAGGTGAAAACGTGCATCCCTGGAGCTGTATAAAATTGTACTTAGTGGCTGTGCAATGAAATCTAGGTCCCTGCTAAACTAATAAGATGAATTCTTTACTTTTTATACTCTATACCTTTCTTTGTATTAGTTAAGAAACACTCCACAATAAAGCATGCTTTTAAAATGTTGCACGGTTGACCAAACATTTAAGAAATGCTCTTGTCTGCTGCTCAGCTGTGTTGCTGCACACCTGCTGTGTGCTGCTCTCCTCTGAACTCAACTTTCTTTGTTTGCATTATTTCAGTTGCAGGGAAAGAGAATAAAAGCACAGCTTATGGGATCATTGAGAGAAGTTATGAAATGTGTAGCAAACCGGAAACTATGAAAAAGGACAAGTACATGAAGGTAAAGTAGCTACAGTTTTTTCATGTATTGTAGGTGGTACTAAAGATATCAGTTGGGCAAAGATTCATGTAAATAAGACATTTAAGTAAGCTAATTTAATGTTAAAGACATTTTTGAGAAATTGCAAACAAGTGAAATTAACTTTATAATGAAAGCAGTAGTTTTTTTTTTTTAGGGAATTTGTACTCTTTCGCTCTTTTGCAGACGAGGTATTATCTTTTTCTGTGCACAGCACAACAACAGTGATAATTTAGCCCAACACACAAATTAAGTGGCAGATTTACTAACAGCCAGTGCAAACCCTCTTTTGATGTTAAACTACTGTCAGGGTCTACTAAAGCAGAGGTCTTCAACCCTACTCCTGGAGGCCCACTGCCCTGCAGAGTTTATATCAAACCTGCTTCAGTCTGTGATGTTCAAGCAATCCTGAAGAGCTTGACTAGCTGGTTCAGGTGTGTTTGATTAGCGTTGGAGTAAAACTCTGCAGGACAGTGGGCCTCCAGGAACAGGGTTGAAGACCTATGTACTAAAGGACACGCAGTAGAAAAATTAGTAATGAAAAGGTGTGAAATAAAGGTGTTATTTTTGCGTCTGACCTTGCATATGCAGTATTTGTAGGAGTTCCCCATTCAGATGCAATATTTATGGGAGTACAGTTTTTAAATAAATTATGATTTACTAAGGTTTGCGCTAAGCAATTTACTGCTATTTGCACCATTTAATCAAAAAAACAAAAGCATGTGTTAAGCCACCTGTGTTAGATCACACATGCCTGATTATCATCGGCTCTGCTTGTGTAAATTTGCGCTGATCTTTAGACTACATTGGTCATTATGGAAATGATCAGGGCTGCGTTTCCCAAAAGCATCGTAAGCCTAAGTTGATTGTATTGACCATTGGTGGCAATGGTCAGCTTAGGCTTATGATGCTTTTGGGAAACGCAGCTCTGGCTGTGTCTGTATCTTCAATGTGTGCATTGTCAGTAAATCACCCCCACTCCCATCTGCGCTTTTTTATGGGATTACGGTTTTACGCTAATTTACCATGTTTAGTAAATCTGGCCCTTGGTGTACAAAAGTAAACAAAAAGGCCCTTAAAATCAAATATTGAGGTTAATTTTTAAGCCTGTACTTCATAGCATAAAACTCGTTGTGGTTGGAACAGTCTGTTTATTCACATTATCATGCAAGCTAACTCTTATATAATGAAATTGAACAAAACTATACGAGGTAAAAGAAAACCATTGTTCTTAAAGGGCATATGTGTCGTGCAACCTGCCTGGCATCTGTCTATTTTGATTCGCCAAGAAAAGAATTTGTGCAGAAATACCAGAGTTAGATTAGATGCTCAATATTTTACATCAACAGCAAAAGATATTTAAAGTGTTTTCTCCTCTCTTTAAAAAATTAGTATGATTATTTCATTTCTTTTGCTATCCTGACTGCATTATTAGATGGTTAGTTTATTATTATTTTTTTTAGCATTTGTCATTGCTTTTTTCCATGCAATTTTTTATATGCAATAATTTGTCTTCTTTACTTTTTAATGGTCCTTTCTTACATAAGAGGAATAAACTGTTTAAAGCTGTATTCTACCCCAGTTTCCAGGTGAAGACAGAGCTTTCAGCTTGATTCTTCTGTCTCCATGGAGCGTAGTAGTTTGCTTTGATGCAGTTGTTATATGCGAGTCTCCTTGTTGCCTTCTTGGCTTCCTGTGTTTTTTTTGCTACTGTGACATGCACCTGGCAGAGGTCTGTTTGCTTTTTCTCAGCCTGAACTAAACTCCTTCCTGCCACAGAGAGAAGCAACAGGCTTTTGTCTCAATCCCCAATGTGATAAAGTTCAAACATAGATGGCATCTTATTTAATCGTGGTAAAGAATTTACAGATGGGCATTTGTCATCAGTGTTCCCTTTTGACAAGATTAGAGTATACATACTTAAATAGTGATAATTGTATTAGAAGATCTCACTGGTGATCCAGATGCTAAGTATGATCATTTATGGAGAGGTACATTTTTTGGCATGAGCAGGATGAGGCTTCTCCTCTGGGACTTTTCCTTTGAGTGAAAGTCATGCTGAGGGGTGCATTTTCCAAAAGATCGTCAGCCAACTATGTTGCAAGTTCCGTCGTTAACAACATAGTTCAACATTGTCTGTGTTTTCAGAAACCATAGTTCCTGAGAACGTTCGCAAACAGCAAACAACCTGTGGTTAGAAGCCTATTTTGTTGTTAGTATGACATGTGGATTTAAATAGATCATGCTCTTGGCCACAATAAGCAAGCCAACATGCAGTACATTCTCTATCTAGGGATCCTACGCAGTTTGGAAAAGTATGAAACAATATTTGTTTCCAGGCTATTTCCCCTATTCAGTTTTCTAAAATGTAAAATTAAGAATTAAAAAAAAAGTGTCATACTAGCAGAGTGATTTTCATGGCAAAAGTTTAGTGATCATTTAGTGAGTGAACATGACTAAATTAAAGGGTTTTTTTTTTTTGTTTTTTTCAATTGAATTCAGTTGTCTTTACCAAAAGCGAGTCTCTTTTGAACTTCACTAAATGAACCGGCAACAGTTAAAAGTACAAACTATCATTTTATTCAGACTGTACTTTGCTGTTTTGGTGATCGTTCAACTAGTCACGATTACAGTATTAAACCATTGTATCAGAGGTGAATGTATGCAGGTTATAAAGCATTTTAGATGTCTTCTTGTTATCATGCAAACACATTGTCACTTGAAAAAAAAACAATGGAAATTACCTGCAAAAATATTTACATGTGATTGTACTAAACTGAACGAATCATTTGTTAAATATAATTTTAAAAATCTACAGGTTTTGAAATCTACAACAAATTAGAGAGCTTTGGTGATAACTAGAAATCGCATCAAAAGTGAAAATCGTTGGTCAAAAATATTTTTGTGCACAAACTGACCACCAACTGCAACTTTCAGATGCCATCTTTATTTTTTAGCTTAACTGACACAGATTGGAATGCACAGAATTGTGGGATATCATTGGCAGTGAAGGATGTATCTGCTGCCTTCGAAATGCCTTCATCTGATCGATTTTTGGAGACAGGAAGTGAAGCTAACATTGTATTCGGACGTGCCTTGATGCCATCCTCCTTGGAATGCATCCTCTGAAGGCAGCATTTTTAAACGCAGGTTTCTACAGTTTCGGGGAAACTAGTCATGACTAGTTGGTTCGTTTCTCCAACGATGTATCGTACTATGGGAGTTAATCAGCGAGTTACATCGTACAGAAAAAGCACCCCAGGCAAGGGTTATTATAGTAAACTAAAAGTAATGATTTTTTTTAATGGTTGTAGTTAAAATATTAACTAAACTAAAAAAATATAAAAAAAATAACACAAATTAAATAACTTGAAAAAATAAAAACTATATTAAAATGCTAATAAAAATTACCAACACAAATTAAATTAAAATCAACAGAAAAACTAATTTAAATTATTAATTTAAACTACAATAGTATCAGTGATGCTAAAATAACAATGGCATACTTTTGCCATATTTTTCTGTAATATTTTTGACAAATAAAGAAATTGTTACAAATATGAAGTAAACACTGCAAACAACAGTGCACTTAATAATCTGGTAAGTTTGTGTGCACTGGGAATCATATTTTTTATAAAGTAAGGACAAGGTAGAGCTAGTTTTACATACAGTACTTACAGCAAATAGGATGTGAATACGACTGGCCAGCTGGATGTAGCACAACATAGTTTCAATACAAGGATCGATCGTGTCCAGTAACATCTAAACTCTCCTGTCCACGTTCAATTTACATGGAACACAGTTCAGAGTACACAGGTTACAGTCTACAAATGTACCCTTCAGAAGATCTCTCAGCTGGATTCGCTAAAGATTGAAAGATTTGTGAAATTTTCAAAGACACTTTTAATTATATAGATGCATATTTAAATAATGTCGACGGTAAATGAGAAAGTATTATAGCGTTTGCCTTTCTATTACTAATAGAAAGAAACGCTACGATTATTTTTCATATCCCGTTCACTTTAAGGCGATATACTGTTTATATAAGTGTTGTTACCTGTAAAACATCATTCATCCTTATTTTTTTATTTTTCTTTCAAACATTTCATTACTTAATTTTGTTTTTGTTTTTTATATCGTAAGTTAATGTTGCAATAATGTTTAGGTAATACTTTACAATAACTACATTAGTTAACATGAACTAATAATTGCGCTTCTACAGCATTTATTAATCTTTGTTAATGTTAATTTCAACATTTACTAATACATTATTAAAATCAAAAGTTGTATTTGTCATTATTAGTTAACGCACTGTGAACAAACAATGAACAGCTGGATTTGTAAATACAGTAACAAATGTATTGCTCATGGTTAGTTCATGTTTGTTAATAAATTAACTGTTAACAAATGAAACCTTATTTTAAAGTGTTACCAATCTTTAGGCAGTGATCTCTAATTAAAAATATATATATTTTCAATCATACTTATTATATTAAAGTTCAATAAAATCATCAAAATAAATATAAAATAATTTATCTAAAAAATATTCAGAAAATTGCTTGATTGGTAATGGCTATATCATGAATAAAAATCAGTCAACAACCTGATCAACTCTATGCGAAGGAGATGTTGCACTGCGTGAGGCAAATGGTGGTCACACCAGATACTGACTGGTTTTCGGACCCCCCCAATACAGTAAAACTGCACATTTTAGAGTGGCCTTTTATTGTGGCCAGCCTAAGGCACACCTGTGCAATAATCATGCTGATTATCTCGGCAAAGAAGTGCTCACTAACACAGATTTAGACAGATTTATGAACAATATTTGAGGGAAATAGGCCTTTTGTGTACATAGAAAAAATCTTAGATCTTTGAGTTCAGCTCATGAAAAATGGGGGCAAAAACAAAAGTGTTGTGTTTATAATTTTGTTCAGTGTAAATAAAAATGTAGTTTTGTTTAAAGTGGATGAGAAAAATATATT